GCAGCTTGTGAGGTTTTCTTCCTTACTGACCAGCTAAATCAAGACTAGAAAGGGTTGCTCGGAAAACCATCAGTACTCAGAATTTCCCATAGTCTTTTGAAAAGCTATGTTTTCCAGGAATTAGTTTTCATAAATCCCCTCTCCTAAAAAGCTTTACTTTTTCCTAATATGCTATGTCATTTGACTTTCTGTATTTAGCATGTAAACCACAGCAGATGTTAAATCTGACCTCATTTTCCAAATAAAGAACTGTAAAAACCCCTTTAAATTCCACAAAGTATCCAAACAGTTCCATTACTTCCTATTTCTCACATGGATATAAATTTTATTCATAACTCTGTCCACAGTACTCGAGGGCACTACCACCAATGTCTTGTACAATCACAATGAGACTTGTAAATCAGGGCTAACAATCCACTTGTCTTCCTGATTGCTTGCTGTACCTGCATACTACTATATGATCCAAGGACACCCAAAGCCCTTTGCAATGCAGCATTCTGCTGCCTCCTCCATTGAAGGACTACTCTGCTTTTCTATACTTCCTGCCAGAGTGGACATTCATACATTATCCCACAATTAGGCTCAATCTGTCATTTTGTTTTCCCCAGTGTTTCTTGCTTTGCAGGTTCAGTCTAACCTCCTCACACTTGCTCGGCAAGTTTGGCTACAATACAGTTGAATCCTTTGTCCAAGTCAGTAGTATAGATTGCAAATAGTTGAAGTCCCACCACTGATTTGTGGTACTTCACGAGTTAAAGTTTGCCAACCTAAAAAAAAATCATTTATCCCAAATATGAGGCTGCTATTAGTGGGCCAAACCTCTGCCATAATAACTGCCAACAAAGTGAGCTCTTACATTGTACGAAAACTTTTTACTTGGCATCTTTTTGAACACTGGAAATCCAAATACACAACATCTAGTCTTCTTTCTCCACCTTCATTGTCACATCTTCTAAGAAGTCAAAGCTTTTCAATCTTGTTGGAGTTAAGGATGGAGAAGACAGCGGAGAGGGAAAGCTCTTCACAAGGAAGTAACTTATTTGAGAGATATTATTGTCTGGATCCTTTGTGCACAAATCACAGAAAGCTAATGTGATGGTGTCGTCAAATATTTGGAGGACAACTGCTGAGTTACCAGTTATTACCAAGGGATGGGACTAGGGAAGCGAGGAAATCCAGCTGTGATTGTGCAGGGGACATGGTCATTATGCACCAATTCAAAAGGTCTAACGAATGAATGCAACAATTTACAGATATTCCAGGAGAGAAGACAGAAACAGACAGACACACACACACAGTGACCAAGGAACAGAGAACAACAGAAGGACATTTGGAATTCAAACAGGCATCAGTTCAGGTCAGTCTTCGATTTTAAAAATTAAACATTTTCTTGTTGAAAAATTTTGGAAGGTAAATTGTGAACAGGATGTAAAGTGTATTCAAATTGAGCAATATAGAGATGGTCAGTGAGTGGGTAAGACATTGTCTGATGTGGTATAAAGTGGAGAGTGTGATGGTTGTCAGGAAAAATTGATAAAGACCCTCAAATATAAATGGGGAAATGTTGCAGGACTCTGAGATACAGAGAAATGTAGGTGCCCTGGGCTAGGAATCACAAATGGAGTTGGGCTGCAGGGGCAGCAAGTGATTAAGAAGGCAAATGGGTTGTTTTCTTTCATTTGTCAGTGGGATGAGAGCATCACTAGCTGGGCCAGCACTTATCCCCCATTCCTAACAGCCATTGAGTAGGTAGTAATGAGCTGCCTTTTTGAACTACTACACTCCAAAATTTTTTTTTTTTTTTTTTTTTTTTGAGCAATAGTTTGGAGCAGAAATTAAACTGCAGCTTTCTGTTTTCTTGTCCCAGTTTAACATTCAACCATTCAGTTTCTACTGACTTCGAGACTGGAATCTCATTGATGGTCTCACTGAATTTACATAGAACATAACACAATGGGGAATGAGTTACAAACTAGAATTTAATTGAAGGGATCTGGGATTTTATACAGAGCATAACACACACTGAGAAGTAAGTTACAGTCTGAAATGTAATCAAGGGATTTGGGGTAATTTTATATCCAGATTAACAGGTAGTAGGGAGTGAGTTACAGCATAGAATCTAATCAAGAGTTTTGAAGTGGTTTACATTCAGAGTCACAGATATCTGGGAGTGAGTTACAGAGTAGAACCTATTTGAGTGGATCAGGGTGTTTTATATATAGAATACAGATATACAGGAGCGAGTTACAGACTGGTATCTAATCAAAGGGTTCAGGATGGTTTATATATGGAATAACAGATACAAACTTTAAGCTAATCAAGGGATCCAGGATGGTTTATGTGTGGAGTCACAGATACATGGGTGTGACTTACAGTTTGGAAACTTAGAGGAGTTCGGGATGGTTTATATTTTGAATAACAGATACATGGGAGTGAGTTACAGATTGCAGTCTTATTGAGGTGGTCAGGGTTGTTTTTAATGTAAAATAACAAATATACTGGAGTGAGTTAGAGACTGGAATCTAATCAAAGGGTTTGGGGCGGTCTTAAAATTGGGGGGCAAACTTGACAGCTGTAAAATTTAAGGTGTGTAATTAGGGCAGCACAGTGGCTCAGTGGTTAGCACTGCTGCCTCACAGCTCCAGGGACTGGGGTTTGATTCCACCCTTGGGCGACTGTCTGTGTGGAATTTGCACCTTCTCCCCGTGTCTGCGCGGGTTTCCTCCGGGCGCTCCAGTTTTCTCCCACAATCCAAAGATGTGCAGGCTAGGTGGATTGGCTGTGCTAAATTGCTTGTAGCGTTCAGGGATATATAGATTAGGTGGGTTATAGGGGGATGGGTCTGGGTGGGATGCTCTGAGGGTCCGTGTAGACTTGTTGGGCTGAAGGGCCTGTTTCCAAACTGTAGGGTTTCTATGATTAATTGGAAATGGGCAAAAATGGGAGGGTGTGCAGTGGAGGAGTGGCAGGGCAAAGTGGAGTGGGTATAATTGGGAAAGGGCATTAAAATGGGGCAGGGACAATATTTGGGGAGGGCAAAATTTTGGAGGGAGTGGCGAGTGCCAAATCTGAGGGGGGAGCTTTTGGGGAGGTGGAAAATTTGGGGGCACAACAACAGGGGGAACTTGACAGCTGGCAAAATATTTGGAGGGGGTTGCAAATTACGGGGGACACAACTGGGGTGGATGTGCAGCATTGGGGAAGATAATTTGGTTGGGCATAAAATTGGGGGAAGTTGCAGACGGCTGCATAATTCAGTGGTGGGGCTGCCAATGTGGAAGTGCAACATCTTAGGGCTCAAATTTGGGGTGTAAAATTTGGCTGGGCCACAAAACTTGGCAATGGGCAAAATTTGGGGGAAGAGTGCAAGTGTTTTGAGGGGACCCACAAATTGTATGTTTTGTGTAATTGGGGGCAGGGCAAAATTGTGGAGGCTGCAAGAAGGAACAATATTGGGTGTGTAAAACTGGAGCAGTAGGCACAAGATTGGGGGGGTGTGAAAAATTAGGGATGGGCACACTATTTGCTGGGGCACAAAGTCTGAGGGGGCAAAAAATTTTGGGGTGCACATCAATTTTTTTAATGTGCTATATCTGGGTGGAGGCAACAGTTTTGAGGGGGAAATAATGGGGTTACCACTTTTGGCAGAATGCAAAACATGGGTGTGGGATGCAGCAAGATTTTGGGTTTGCCAAATTGGAAGTGGTCACACAAATGGGCGGGCGGGGAGGCAAGGGAGGAACCAATGTTAGGGGGTGTGCAAAAATTTGGTGGGGACAAAATTTGAGAGAGGGTAAAATATTGTGGGACTACAATTTTTGGTGGGGACACAAAACTTAGGGGGAGGACTGCATTATTTTGCGGGTGTATAACTTGTGGAGGAACTGCAAAACTAGTTGGAGGAAATGCAGCAAGGCAGGGGAACACAAAAAAAAAAGAGTGGGAAAGAACAGAGACAAAGGCAGAAAGAAGAGGCAATAGTCAGAAAAACAAAAGAATGTAAGGGGGAATAAAAGAGGTAAGAGAGACAGAGGGAAAGAAAGGCAGAAAGAAAGACACATGGAGGGAGAGAGAGAAAAGGGAAAAAAGTCAGGGAGAGACAATGAAGTGTTAAGGAAAGTTATGGAGAGGCCGAGGAGGGGATGCTCACCATTCCAGCAGGTTGCAGCTCTCTCCATGTTGGGGGACACACCACTCCTGGAGTTTGCTTCAGCCTGGCTGGTGTAGAGAGAGGTAGAGGGGCTGCAGTTAAAGGATCATAACTGGCAGTGAGATAGAAACAGCGCCCACACACCTCCTCACACAACTGGACAGAATCCTCTGACACTCGCTTCCTGCTCCGTCCACGTGGTAAAATGATTATGGCTGCCAGAACCTACCTTAAATACCTTCAGGACCATCATTCGAAGTCCCCTCTCTGCCCAGATCCCAGTTCATCCCCAGCGCCTTCTACCTGGAGCACACCTCCCCTAGACATGGATACCAGGAGGCATCTTTGTTAGAATGAGACGGGAGGGAGGTGGTGAGAGAGAGAGAAAGCAGCAGCTCAATCGTTTGAGAAAATTGCTGCAGATTCTGGATCAGATACTGAAAAGAAAAATTGCTGGAGATCACAGCAGGTCAGGCAGTATCCATGGAGGAAGTGCAAGCTTAACGTTTCAAGTCTAGATGGCTCTGATGAAGAGTCTTCGGGACACAAAATGTTAGCTTGCTCTTTCCACGGATGCACCCTGATCCGCTGTGATCTTTAGCATTTGTTGTTTTCAACTCAAAAGTTTAGTCCATTCTGCCTCTGGCTGTCGCTCTACCCCTGCATCCTCAAGCCCATCCTCACACCCTCTGGCCTCAGATTTAAAATCCACACAGAGCCAAAGCTGCAGTTTCAAATTGGCAGCAGCCACTACATAATCATTTAGACAATGGAACATAGGCTTCTGCAACAGTGGACACAAATTTATTTCACAAGAGAACAAGACTTTCAAACAGATGAATGTAAGGTGTAAGTGGGACTAAAATGAACAAGCCAGCAAGTTCACCTTTAATGAGTTTGATAATTCTACAAATGAAACAGTCAATTTTCCAAATGAACAATAATTATGCAATTTATTGCACAAATGAACTTGAGTTTATCAAACATATCAACCCTGACCGTATACAGAGGGACATTGTGTATCTCTATGGCTGTGTTTGACAGTGCCTGTGTGTGTGATGAATCCCAGTCTCTCTCTCCTCTCTGATCTCCTCACCCCACCACCACCACCTCCCCCCTCCCCCACCCCCCACAACTCTGGTGTTTAAAGTGATACAATGCCACCTTCTGCTGGCCTCCCCATGACACATCACAAGCATCACATATTTCCCTGTTCCACTGCATCTGCCTCCTGGTCCTCAGGCTGGAGGAATCCTCCATCACATCAATCAACCAGTCCTCCTAGGAGCTGGATCAATCAAAGTTTTAAGAAACAACAGCAACAGGCACCTGCCCTGCAGTCACTTGTGAACTCACTGGTGTCTAGGCAGGTGGAATGACTGAGTGAATGCTTTCCCACAGAGAGCCAGTAACATCTTCTTACCAATGCGTACTTGCTGGTGTTTCAGAAGGCTGTTGAACGGACAAATGATTTCCCACACAGAGCAGGGGCATAACCTCTCCCCAATGTGAATGTGTTGGTATATCAGCATGTCACATTTGCATTTAAAGCTCTTCTCACAGTCTGAACGCTTGAAATGTCTCCCATCAGTGTGAGCCAGTTGGTGTGCCCTGAGGTTGGATAAGAGAATGCCTTGCCACACAGAATGGCCTTTCCCCAGCGTGAACTTGCTGGTGTTTCAGCGGGTAGGATGAGTCAATGAATCCCTTCCCACACTCAGAGGAGATGAATGGCCATTCTCCGGTGTGAACTCAGTGTCTCCAAAGGTTGGATGCGTCTTGGTGCATTTCCAGTCACACTGATGTTTGTAATCTTTTCCCACAAACATTGAAAATCCAATGGTTGAAGTCCTGATGAATTGACTCACTCTGTGTTCGTGATGGGAAATTTGTTTGGAATTCTTGCTAAATTGCTAAATGTGCCTCTGTGATTCTGTGTAAATAAAAATTAAATCAGGAAAAGGTGAGTATGAAAGAACTGTTTAAGACACTAGAGGAGATTGTGAAAGTGAATCATTGATTCAGGTAATTTATGGAAAACATTTAGAAATAGTGACCATGAAAAGTTAGTGGATTGTCACTAAAGACCACTAGTTCATGAATGTCCTTCTGAGAAGGGGACTCATTGCCTGTCCTAGGTCTCCACAGGAGTCAGCCCTCAATGGGAGGAGGGGCAGCAAGGCAGTGGGACACTTAAGGACACTATTAGATCTGGAGAGAGCAAGATAGAATGTAACACACTGACTGTTGGTCTGCAATAACCAGCCTCTCCAAAGAGATAGTAGGAACTGCCGATGCTGAAGAATCTGAGATAACAAGGTGTAGAGCTGGATGAACACAGCAGGCCAAGCAGCATCAGAGGAGCAGGAAATCTGATGTTTCGGGTCTAGAATTTTCTGAAGAAGGGTTTAGACCCAAAACATCAGCTTTCCTGCTCCTCTGATGCTGCTTGGCCTGCTTTGTTCATCCAGCTCTACACCTTGTTATCTCCAAAGAGTCTCCTTCTCAGTCCAGGAGCAACAAACATCTCTCTTGGTTAGATGTTGCTGTGTGTAAGTCCTTTCACCTTACCCCGTACAAAAATTGTTTCCCAGGGCTTGGTACTAATTTAGGCAGAAACAACCTCGACCAGGTTGTTACTTTAATCACTGTTACCACATAGCCTGCCATTACACACCCCCTGTTGTTATTCACTAACAGTCCCCATTAACAACTATTCACCCTCCCAGCCTGATCTTTAGCAACTCCTTTGTCTGTCCAACTGTCTTTCTCTCTCTTTGGGCCCTATCATATCGTTTACTCCCTACCCCACCCACCTCCCTATTTTCTGCATATAAACTGATGTTTTCCCAGCCATCATCAGCTCTGGGAAAGGGTCACCGGACCCGAAACGTTGACTCCGTTTTCTCCTTCGCAGATGCTGCCAGACCTGCTGAGCTTTTCCAGTAACTTTGTTTTTGTTTACTGCAACCATCCAGTCTCTCCACTCTTCTCGCTCTCAGCAAACCACCTCTCTCCGACACATTGCGCATGCTCCAATAAACAGCTTGGGCCTGCTCCAATAAACAGCTTGGGCCTGCTCTCCGTTCACTCTAATTGGTGCAAGGCCCAGCTAATGGCAGAATAAACCGTCAATCACCCAGGAGCTGAAGCATGCGTAGAGCGGGTATGACATTCAGAGGCTAATGCGCATTACCAATTGTATAAATTTGTTAAAAGGTGAGGAATTATCCCAGAGCTCATTTGTATTTCAGTTCAGGAAGGAGGGAGAGTTTTTTTTTTTAAATCAGTTTATGGTATGTAGTTATCCCTGAGTAGGCCCAATATTTATTGTCCATCCCTAATTGGCCAAAGGGCTGTGAAGAGTCAGTCACATTTTTGTGGGTCTGGAGTCACATGTAGGTCAGACTGGGGAAAAATGGCAGATTTCCCTCCCTAAACAGTGAGCACAGTGGGATTTGAACACGTCTCCATGGAACAACATCCTGGGGTAATGGATAACTAGACCAATTACATTGAGACAACACCACTGCCTCCGGGAACAGGAATTTCCATTGTTGGTGAACAAGAAGATAAAATGTTCCAGAGAAACTGGAATTATCTATTCAAAATTTCTATCCTGAATGGAAAAGCTCAGCAGGTCTGGCAGCATCCGTGAAGGAAAAAACAGAGCTAACGTTTCGGGTCCGGTGATCCTTCCTCAGAACTACCCCAGACATCCTCAGTTCACTGCACACCAAGTTCTTACTGGCCATTTATCCGTCCTGTATGTGGGAAGGGATTTGCACAGACATCAAACTTGCTGTGACACCAGCGAGTTCACACTGGAAAGAAATTGTTTACTTGCTCTGTGTGTGGGAAGGGATTTATATAATCCCACCACCTGCTGATACATAAATACATTTATATTGGTGTGAGTGTGGAAAAGGATTCACTCAGTCTATTCATCTGCTGACACTTCAGTCAGTTCACACTAGGGAGAGACCATTCACCTGCTCTGAGTGTGGTAAGAAATGCACTTAGTTTTCCCAACTGTTGAAATCTTCCAGTGCAGTTACAACACTGGCATCTATTCAACAATCTGGAAAATTGCCAGGATATGTCCTGTACACAAATAGCAGGACAAATCTGACCCACCCATTAATCATCCTATCGGTATATTCTCGATAATCAGTAAAGTGATGAAAGACGTTGAATAGCATCTTCTCCAAATCTACTCCAAAATCTTAAATAGCATCTTCTTGGCGAGAAGCTGCTTCTAGCCAAGACATGCAGTCTGGGTTCTGCCAGAGCCACTCAGCTCATTCCAGCCTTGGTTCAAAAGAGCTGAATTCCAAAGGTGAGATGAGAGTGACAGCTTTTGACATCAAGGCACCATTCGATGGAGTGTGGCATCAAGGAGCTTTGATTAGGCTCCAGTCTGTAACACACTACTGGATATGTTATTCTATATATGAATCTCTCTCTCTCAACCTCTCGATCAGATTCCACCATGTAGCTGGCACCCAGGTATCTGTTACTCTGCATATAAATCACAGCCTCCTCTTTGATTAGATTCCAGTCTGTAACTCACTACCAGTTAAGTTATTCTATATATAAATCTCCCCAATTCTCTCGGTTAGATTGCGGTCTGTAATTCACTCCTGAGTATCTGTTATTCTATATATAAACCACCCCAAACCCAACAATTAGGTTCTAGCCTGTAATTTACTGCCGGTTATCTGTTATATTGCATATAAATGTTCCAAACCCCTCGATTTAAATTTTTGTCTGTAGCTCACTCCTGATTGTCTTATTCTGTGTGTAAACAACACCCATCCCTCTATTAGATTCCAGTGTGTAAAACCCTCCCAGGTAACAGTTATACTGTGTATGAACCACCTTGATTTCATTGAATAGATTCCAAATTGTAACTCACACCCAGGTGTCTGTTACTCCGTACGTAAACAATCCTGAACCCTTGATTAGCTTCCAGTCTGTAACTCACTCCTGGGTAACTGTTACTCTGTATAAAAATTAACTCGAACTTCCCAATTCTATTCCAGTCCATAACTCACGCCTGAGTAACTGTTATTCTATATGTAAGAGTGATTGTGAGTTTGTAAGTGTAACCGTGTGTGTAAGAATGAGCAAGAGTGTGTATGAATGTTTGAAAGTGTGTTTAATGGGTGGGTCAGATTTGTCCTGCTATTTGTATATGTGCGAGTGGGTGTGTGTGTACATGGGTATGAATGTGTGTAAGTGAATGTGTACGTGTAGATGAATGTGTTCACATGCATGTGCATGAGTGTGCGCACAGGAGTGACAGCATGGTTGACTGTGTGACAGTGAATATTTCAGTCTGTGTGATGTCAGAGGAGTGTGAGATTGTGCGTGCATGTGTGAGTAAGTCCGTGTGAGTGGGACTGCAAGCATGTGTGAGTGAGGCAGGGTGCACATGGGTGTCTGCATTAGTCTGTGTGAATATGAGTGAGAATGTGTGTTTGCGTATAGGAGGGTGTATGAGTGTAAGACTGGGTGGGAGTGTGAATGAATGTGTGAGAGATTGTGAAAGTGAGTGATGTGTATGAAGTGTGAAATTCTAAGTGTGAATGTGTATGTGAGAGAGATTGCAGGAATGTGAGTGTGTGTATGTGTATGTGTACGTGTTAGATTTCTCATGCGTGATTGTACAAGTGTGTGTGCATGAGTATGTGTGTGAGAGTGAGTGTGCTTGAACCATGCTAGCACAGATCCTTAGTGGAGAAAGTGAATATTCCAGTTCAGGTACATTCAGTCTGCAAATAACCAGCTGCTCCATGGTGCCCCACACATTCAGGGCTCTGGCCGCTGGCCCCCGGCCCCCGCTGTGCATACCTCTGTCTCAGTTTCTGCGAAGCGCTAAGGCTGGGTGCCACTGGGCTTGCGTTCAGCTTCCGAGAGCTGCATTGCGCATGCTACACGCAGACAGGCCGTATCCGGGTTGGGGCCTCCTAGCGTCTGCGCAACGATGCTCTGGTGATGGAATTAGGCCGCATTCAACAACAAAAACAGAAGTTGCTGGAGAAGCTCATCAGAACCTCAGAACTGCCAGATGCTGCCAAACCTGCTAAGCTTTTCCAGCAACTTCTGTTTTTGTTCTTGAATGCGGCTTAATTCCATCACCAGAGCTTCAATGTGCAAACTCTAGGAGGCCCCAACCCGCATACGGCCTGTCTGCGTGTAGCATGCGCGATGCAGCTCTCGGAAGCTGAACGCGAGCCCAGTAGCTCCCAGTCTTAGCGTTAGCTCATCAGGACCTCAGAACTGCCAGATGCTGCCAGACCTGCTAAGCTTTTCCAGCAACTTCCGTTTTTGTTCCTGAATTACAGCATCCGCAGTTCTTTCGGTTTTTATTTAGTCCGCATTCAATCCCATTTGGTCATTCCACCATTGGTAACAAAATTCCTTACGAGGGACGGAGACCGGACGAGTGGCAGACTTTCCTTTCTCGGATCCTCCCCTTTAAGAAATAGGAAACAAAAACAAAGACAGCTGGGAGAACAACAGCAGGTGCGGCAACGTCCGAAGAGAGGAAATAAAGTGAACGTTCCGAGTCCACTTACCCTTCATAAAATTACTGTGTCTATTCGTTTTTAATTTTATACATTAAACCAGCTATAATCACTCGTTCCGACGAATTACACGGTCTTTAATGGTGCATAGTTTACCCAAAATGACCTGCGAAAGTGTTAGTACCCTATTCGCAATGCAGGCGTCCCCGAGCAAGCGCAATGTGCACCCACAGGCTCATGGGGTGGAGTCGGGAGCATGCGCACTGATGACCCGAAAGTAGGAAGAGAGAATGATGTCGGTTTTAGTCCTACGCTGATCGTGGTGGCTCCTGGAAATTCCTTTCACAACGGGAGTATAGGGAGCATTTCCAGGCTTTTCCTCGAGGAATGTTTTAGTGGAAGTCGTGTGGTGAGTCTTTCTAATCCCTGTCTCACTCTCTTAGTAATTTTGGTGATTTGTAGTTCGCTTTGAATGTAAGGCTGCACTCTTCAATCTTCTTCCTGTATTTTACTCGTACGTGGGCATCGTTAGGATCTATTTTCCATCCCTAATTGTGCCACGCTGAGTTCCAGACTTCAGACCCCTGGGTTTGATGTCAGCTTGAATGAGAATGTTGGACATTTACTGAGCTCCTTGGATTCGGAGGTGCAGAGCTGGAGAAGATGACAGAGATAGTGAGGGACCGAACTGCTGCATTTTGAGGAGCCTGTGTGGGTCAGCAGGCATAGAGATCATACGTTGAACGAACTTCATATGAGTGAGGTGAGAGCCCCAGCAGTGATCTAGAATGAAGCGAGGTCAGTGGACCTGAAAAGTTGACTCTGCTGTCTCTCCATAGATGCTGCCTGACCTACTGAAGTTCTCCAACAATTTCTGTTCTTGTTTCAGATTTCCAGCATCTGCAGTTATTGGTTTCTTGTTAAGTGATCTGGATGATCTCAGATTTATGGGGAACAGAATGTTGCAGCCTGTCAGGAGTGAGACAGAAGAATCAAACTCATAGGTGACAAATGCAAAGATGTAATTTTCAGAAGCAGATGAGCTGAGGTGGAACAAAGTTAGGTGTTATTCCTGAGATTTAAAGAGGTGGTCATAACAAAAATGTGGACATGTAGTTGGTAGCTCAACTTGGAGGCAAATCATTTACCAAGCCTTCAAGCAGTTGGTTTAGCCTTATACATTGGGCATGAAGTGAGATGGAGGTGTTGGCCAGAGAGTGGTGTTTACAATGGGGTTTTGACATAATGGATTTGAACTTCTCATTTAATTGTGCAAGATTTCTAAGTATCTAGAACTGTGTCTTAGGCAAATCAAGACAGTGTGAAACTGGGAGAGAAACGTGGAGACAATGATTTTCACACAGCTGCTTCTTTGGTTGGGATTTGGCAAGTTCTGTCAAATGTCTTGTTGTGTTAATGATACCTAAATGTCCATCCTTTGTTCCCTATCTCTCTCATCTCTCATCTCTCACTCTATCTCTCTTACTCTCACTGTCTTTCCTCTCCTTCTGGGATTAAAGTCGTGTGTAAATCCAGACCAGGAAGTGGGGTTTCTTCACTGAAGGACATTATTGAATCAGTGACAATCCGTCAATGTTTATGGTCACTATTTCCTATTTTTGACCCCACAAACGATCAAAATAATCCAGGTCTTTGTGATTTTCTGATTCCTCAGTCACTCCTTTTGTTTGTTTCAGATCAGTTACATAAAGTATTGGAAAGGAATGATTTACAGGCCAGGAACTTAAACCACACATCCCATCAGGATCTGACAGAGTAACCCAATTTCTCATATCCTGAAACCCTGTTTCTGTTGGGTAAACTGAATCTTGCCCAGTCACAGATGCTGATATTTTCGGTGAACGTAAAATGAATTCACTTTGTTTTGAAGCAGATTAAGCGATGAGTCTTTTAATTTCTCTAACACAAGATCACTGTTTTTCAACGACTGGCTCCCTCCAGTGTCTCCTCCTCGCTCCCCTCTAACAACTGGGGAACTGAAACCAGCCATAGTACAAGGAGGGTAAAAACTGGAGGTAGAGAAAAAAAATGCTGGAACTGAGTCTGAATTTCAGCCCAGGGAGAAGGTACGGGTCAGGGATTTACAGCTCTGGCAGAAGAAGAAAGGAAAAATTGTCGTGTAGTAACTAGAATTGCTTTTCCTTAATTTGTTTTGTGTTCCTTTTCCAGGGTACGGGGAGGATTCATCGAAAGAGAATTCAAACTAAACTTCACTTCAAGATCTGAAAAATTCGCTTCATTCAGCATGACATGAACATTATTGGCCTTTGAATGTAGAAGGAGAAATTGTGTCTATGGAAGGCAATTTCAAACATCTGTGTGACTTGGAATGGACTGAGAACAATGTCCATGCCTGCCCAAATGGTGTCTCCTGACTTTGGAAAGAGCTTTAACCAGTTATTCAGCCTGAAAAGAAATCACACCATTCCCAGCGGGGAGAAACCACACTTGTGTTCTGTGTGTGGTCCAGGCTTCAAATGATCATCCAAACTGGAGAAATACAAAGAAACCATTGGAGAAAGTGTGGAAATGTGAGAACTATGGGAAAGGATTCTATTATCCATCCCAGCTGGAAAACCATTACCATAGTCACTCAGGGGAGAAGCCATTCATCTGTTCAGAGCATGGCAAGGGATTCACTGTGTCCCCCTGGCTGCTGTTACACCATCGGGTTCTCGCCGAGGAGAGGCCTTTCAGCTGCACTCACTGTGGGATGAGGTTTCTGTGTTCACCCAACCTCATTGAAAACCAACGAGTGCACGCTGGGGAGAAATCATTCAGCTGCTCAGAGTGTGGGAGGGTATTCACTCAGTCCGGCAGCCTGCATTTACATGAACTCTCTCAACTGGGGAGAAGCCATTCCCCTGCTCCATGTGTGGGAAGGGATACACTCGGTCATGCCATCTGACACATCAGCAAGTTCACATGTTAGTGCAGGGTTTGGATTCTGCTCTTACTGCTGCTGTTAATCACACCCAGAACTGATAGACTGAAAATGTTTAGTTTGTTAATATCTCCTATAACTGACTGGAGATTAATATTCTGGATGTGTCGCTGTTTTTCACTGTTGCAGTGACTCTTTTTAAAACACCATCTGTGGCCTTTTCCCAATAATACCACTGTTCTGAACTTCAGTTGATCTTTGGTGTTAGATCTACAATTCAATCTCTGAGATGTTCCATTGATAAACATCTCCAATGGGAAAGTGCTGATTAATTCTTGCTGATAGTTCTTATTGACTTGCATATTCTTCTCAGTGATACCTTCATTGTGGACTGAAATTATCAAGGAACATGAAACAGAAAAATAAATATTTCCATGGACATCAATAAACGCTTCATCAATTAACATTGACATTGATGAAGTTCCTGTGTTCAATAATTTGTTACAGATTTATCAACATTTGGTAACGGTGGCACTCACGACAGACTAATTTTATACCTGCTCAGCAGAGATAGCATCTGTCATGGAAGCAAGTCCTAAAGTCTGCCTGATATACACCCAAAACCCAACAGCTAGAATGCTACATCACTTGGAATGAGCTGAGACAGTCATGTATACTGCAGGGAGATATGGTGAAAATAAACACTGGGTCAATACAAAGAAATCCATACTGCCTTTGATGATTGAAATTACATGCTGTGTGTGATGCAATCGAGAAAGAATTTGGTACAACCATCTGAAATTGACAGATGGTGAAGTATGCAGGGACAAAAATAAACAAATGCCCCACAGGGTTGAATATCCCTGTGAACTGTATTCTTGTGAGACAGACATCCCCCAATTTCCTGCAGTTTCCTATCATGATTGAGTTGAATGCAGATCCCTTTTCAACTGACCATAAAAGGATGTCAAATGGATTGTCAAAAACTTCTGAAAGCATGCAAAAATGGAAAGATCATCAAAAACAATTGTGGGTCGATTCCAGGCAGAGGATCTATAATCGGGAATAGAGAAAAGTTGAGTAATTTCCAGGACCATTATCATTGAGCATTAACAGTGATGGTTATGGAGACAATAGATATATTGATAATAATCTGTTAAAATGAGTAGTTCAGCGATGGTGCCTGCAGTTTGAAAGGTTGTAAATGTTCCTGCACTTTTAAAGGAGAGAGAGGGAAAACGGGGAGCTACAGATTTGTTAGATTCATATCAATTGGTGAAAAATACTACAGTCTATTATAAAGGATGTGTTTACTGGATATTTATATAAAGATAATTGTCAGAATAGACAGGACCGATTTATTAAGGGGAAGTCTGATTGAGAAACCGGATGTGTGTCCTTTAAGGATGTTACTAGCAGAATCAAGGAGTGGGAACCAGTGGATGTGACGTATTTAGATTTTCAGAGGCCTTTGGTAATATTCCACACAGGAGGCTACTAAAATTAAACAGCGACGGATTGAGAGGAATACACTAGGATGTTGAAGACTGGTTAAGAAGCAGAATTCAGACAGTAGGAATACAGAGGAAGGGAGGCAATGGCCTAGTGGTATTGTCACTGGACTGTTAACACAGAGACCCAAATAATGGTCTGGGGACCTGGGTTCAAATCCCGCCATGACAGATGGTGGAATTTGAATTCAATAAATATTTGGAATTAAGAGTCTAATGATGACTATTAATCCATTGCCAATTGTGAGGGAAAAACCCATCTGGTTCGCTAATGTCCTTTAGGAAGGAAACTGCCATCCTTACCTGGTCTGGCCTACATGTGATTCCAGGCCTACAGCAATGTGGTTGACTCTTAACTGCCCTCTGGACAATTATGGATGGGTAATAAATGCAGCCTAGCCAGCGACACCCTCGTCACGTGAATGAATAAAGGAACTAAAGGAAAAACATGGGTCATTCTCTGTTACCAGTAGGTTACTACAAGGATCAGTGCATGGTATCCAGCTATTCACAATCAATATCAATAACGTAGAAGCTGGTGGTGATGATGTTGGAGGGTGGAGGGGAAGATTTATAATATATCCACATTGCAGATGACACAATCTTAGTGGGAATGTGCAAGGAATCTGCAAAGAGGCTTCAAGGGGTTTAGACTGGATTAGAGTGTGGGCAAGAAAATGGCAGATGGTGTATAACATGGGGAAGAGGTTATTGACTGTGGTTGGAAAAAATGCAAGGTGTTTCTTAAATGTTGAAAGAATGGAAAGATGTCCAAAAATGTTCATAACTCACTGGAAGCAAGTATGCCAGGTCCAGCAACCAATTAGGACATTCTCCTTTATTGCAAAAGGATTCAAGAACTGAAGCAGTCTTGATTTAATTGAACAGAAGACTGGTGAGACCACACCAGGAGTTCTGGTCCCCTTACCTTGGAAAGGATATAGTTGTCACAGGGGGAGTACAGAGGCTGCTCTGGGATGGTAGACTATCATATTAGGACGGATTGAGCAGTTTGGGTCTCTGTTCTCTGGAATTGAGAAGAATGTCAGAAGAGCTTATAGAAATTTCTGAAAGGCATAAAGAGAATAGGTGCAGAAAGGATGGTTCCCCTGTCTGTGGGGTGCACAACTAAGGACAGAGTCTCGGAATAAAAGGCAAGCCATTTCAGATTGAGATGAGGAGGACAGTCAAGGTGGTGAACCTCTGAAATTCTCTTCTCCCAGAGGGCTGTGGAAGTTCAGTCGTTAAGTAAGTTTTATAAATGATATAAAGGGGATGGGATGGGAATATGGTACTGTGGAAAATGATCAGCCATGATCTAGAATGGAGGAGCAGGCTCAAGGGGCTGTGAGTCTGTTTCAATGTAACTCAGAAACAGCTTCCTTTGCCCCTGCTCTAACAACCCGACCTGAGACAATATCCACCCTCTATCCTCACTTCCATCACCACACTCACTAGGACAGTGTATGTGAGAAAGAGGCTTCAACTAACTGTATCACCACCAATGACAATAGGAAACCTGCCCAAAGGAGTTCAGAGACAAACTGGGGACCACTGGGGGTAAGTTAGACCCATTGGGAGAGTGAAGAGAGTGAAAGAAAAGGAAGCAGCAGGGAGAACAGATCAGAGTGTTTCCATTCTCCTGACAAAGAAGCTCCATGAGTTCCTCGCTGTTGTGTTTGGAGGCGAGGATGGAGGACATTGAGACATCTTGAAAAGGAGCGATCCCATGTTAGAGACATTTAAAAGACTCAATGCATTGTGTGTGAACATCAACACCTTTTCCCCAAGAGTGTACTCGCTGGTGTGTACCAGCAGATTGGATAACAGAGTGAATCATTTCCCACCAATGGAGCAGTTGAACAGCCTCTCCCCACTGTGAATGCAAATGATTCGGCAGATGGGATGACAGAGTAAATCCCTGCCCGCATTCAGTGCAGGTGAATGATCTCTCTCTAATGTGAACTCGCTGGTATCTCTGCAGTTGGGCTGACTCAATGAATCCCTTCCCACACTCAGTGCAAGTGAATGGGCTCTCTCCAGTGTGAAGTCACTGGTGTTTGAGCAGGGTGGATGACCGAATGAATCCCTGCCCACTCTCAGTGCAGATGAATAGTCTTTCCCTAGTATCACTGCGCCACTGATTTGCGAGCTCAGATGGGTAATGGAATCCCTTCCCATGGTTCTCATATTACTGAAGCCTCGCCCACACACACAACACACATACAATTTCTCTCCACAGTGAATGACGCTTTTTCCATCCACGTTCCAAGGCCGATAATATTCAGCTCCTCAGAATCGAGCGGCGCTGAAAACTCTTGATCCGACATTTGATTTGAGCTTCCTGTCTGTAGATCCTCCCTTTTTCCAATTGCCTATGAAATAAACTTAAAACTGGAAAAAGTGGAAAGCTGCTGGATTGTGATAATAGCTCACTTGGATCACTAATGTCCTTGAAAGAACAGAAATTGAACAATACAGGACAAACCAGCCTGTAAGAACAGGCTGCAGCCAGTTGTTATTTCTGCAGAGCCAGCAGGGTGGGAGGTTCAAGTGATACCACAATAATGTTGACTGTGCAACAATACAAACTGTACAACTGGCTGACTAGAACCTGTGCCAGTCTTTAATTGGATAAATGTAAATGACCTAGTCTTGTTCAAAATATACTACTGTAAATAAGTGGGGATTCGTGCACCACCTTCAGATATGTACAATTTCCCTTGTGTACTGATAAGACTGCATCTGGAGTAATGTTCAGTACTGATCATGGTACTTCTACAAGATTGGTAATACATTGGAAGCAGTTCAGAGAAGGTTAAATAGACTAATACCTAGAATGATTAGATTGCCTTATGAGGAAAGGCTAGGCCTGTATCTTCTGCAGTTTAGAAGAGAAAGAGGAGACTAAATTGAAACATAAAAGATCCTGAGAGGACCCAATCAGGTAGATGTTGAAAATATGTTTCCTCTTGTGGGAGAATCTAGAACTGGGGGTCATTGTTGAAAAAGGGTGAACTATTTAAAATGAAGAGGAAATATTTATTTTCTCTCAAAGAGTTCAGTATCTTTGGAATTTTCTTCCTCAAGAGGCAGTGGATGCAGAATCTTTAAATATTTTCAAGGCAGAGGCGGATAGATTCTTGATAACTAAGATTATCAGGGATATGTAGGCACATAGAGTTGAGGTTCAAATCAAATCAGCCATGATGTTATTGAGTGGCAGAGAAAGCTCAAAGGGCCAAGCGGCCTACTGCTGTTCCTCATTCGTATGTTCAAATAAACCAGTGAACAAAGAAACTCGAGTCTTGTCCGATTATTGCGGGTAAGGGGTGTGTTTGAGTTCCCACTTTAACCACCCAGTGGAAATAGTTTCTATCTCCCTGACCAGCTTCAATTAACATCTTGAAACTTTTAATCAAATCATCCCTTAATCTTCTAAATTCCAGGGAATGCAGCATTCCTGGTGAGATGATGCATTTTGGTAGAAGGGTAGAGAACATGTGAAGTAGGAACCAAAGTACACCATCCTGCCCCTCGAGCCACAAAGAGGTCAGAGCTGATCAATTTAGGCGTCAATTTCACATTTAAAAAGACATTTTCGAGGTAACGTTTAAAAATTTGATCATGGAATGCGGGCATCACTAGCTGGCCCCAGTTGCCTTAGTGAAGGTGGCGGTGAGCTGCCTTCCATGTGTTAATAGGTTGACACAAAATGTTGCTAGGGAGGGAATTCAAAGTTTTGACTCAACAATAGTGAAAGAATGGCGAGTCAGGACGATGAGCAGCTTGGAGAGAATTCATGCCCAACAAGGTGTCTCAGAGCCCAATACACAGGAAAAGGATCCACAGGCTGTGTCTGATCTTGTCACTATCTTCCAAGTACTCTGTCATTACACCTTTTATAGTGGACTCTAGCATTTTTCCCTTAACCAGCGTCATGCAAATTCCATGTTTTCTCTCTCTGCCTCCTTTCTTAAATACTGGGGTTCTGTTATTTACCCTCCAATCCACAGAAACTCTTCCAGAGTCTGAAATTTTGAAAGATAACCACTCATGCATCTGCTGTTTCTAAGGCCACTTCCAGAGGTACTCTGAGATGAAGGTTATCAGGCTCTGGGGATTTATCTGCTTTTAATCCCACTATTTTCCCAATATCATTTTCCTAATATTACTAATTTCTTTCACTTCTTCCTTCCCATTAGACTCTGTGATCCTCCTTATTTTTGACATGTTATTTGTGTCCTCTTTGAAGACATGAAGACATCACTTTGCACCTCCTAATTAGTTACCCTGTTTCTGATTGTAGGAGACCCTTTATTTGTCTTTACTAATCTTTTACTGTCAATCTTGAATTAAGAGTTTAATGATGACCATGAAATCGTTGCTGATCATCAGGAAAAATCCACCTGTTTCATTAATGTTGTTACGGCAAGAAACTGTCAGCTTTATCCTATCTGGCCTACATGTGACTGCAGCCCACTGTAATGCAATTGACTCTTGACTCAATGGGCAACAAATTCTGGCTCAGCCAGCTATGCCCAAATCCTGTGAATGAGTTTTAGAAAACTTTAGAAACCTGCCTGTTATATCTGTTTTGGTTTGTATGGACCCTGCAAGTGTACTCTCATACTCTGTTTTCTCCCTCTTCATCAATGCCTTTGACTCCCTTTGCTGAAATCTAACCTGTTCCCAATCCTCAGGTCTGATGTTTTATTTAGTCATTTTGTATGCTGTTTCCTTAAATTTCATTTTCCTTTATTTGCCATGGTTTGACCATATTTCCCGTATTGTTCTTATGCCAGGCCGGGATGAAGAACTTCTGTCACTTGTCCATGTGCCCTTTCAATGTTTGCCATTATCTATCTCCCATCATACATTTAAATGCTGATCTGCAATTTATCATGACTACCTCATGCCATTATAATTTTATTTAATTACAAGACCCTAGTCTCAGAAACAATAACAATCACTCTTCATCTTCATGAAGAATTCTATCCTATTGTAGTCACTCTTCCCTAAGGACCCATGTTCAACTTGATTGTCACTTATTCTTTTCTCATTACCCAATAGCCAGTTGCTTCTTCTCATCTGGATTTGGAAAGATTTATTGATCTTGCTTCCAGTTTCCACCCTGCTCTCACCTTCATCTGATCCATCTCTGACTCATCCCTTCCTTGCCATTGGTTTCCATCTCTGGGTATATGCTGGCCACCAATATCCACTTTAAACCCACTGACTCCCACAGTTACCTTGTCTACATTTCCTCACACCACACACCTCTAAAGACTCTACTCCGTTCACCTTGTTCCTCCCTCTCAGTTTCATCTGTTCTGATGATGCCAACTTCAAAAAGTGACCCTCCAAAATGTCAACCTTCTTCCTCAACAGAGGGTTCCCCAGCACTGTTGTTGACAGGACCCTCAGCCTGACACATCTACTGCACCTACACCCTCACCTCTTCCCTCCCAGAGCAGCAATAGGGATCCCCATTCCTCCAGCATCCATATGCAGTGGAACACTAGCCGCCATTTCCACCACCTCCAGCGAGAAGCCTCCCCTACCTTGTCAGACTTACACTGGGACCGTTCCATCTGGGACACCCTGGTCCACTCTTACTACACCCGCAAACCCCACCCCCCTCCATAAACATGTACAAATGTGGCTTGCAACTGGAGAAGGTGTAACACCTTCCTGTTTACTTCCTCCCTCCTCAGTACCCAAGTCCTAAACATACCTTCCAGGTGAAGCAGCACATTACCTGCACTTCACACAATCTAGTCTGCTGCATTCACTGCTCACAATGTCGCCTTCTCTACATCGGGGAAATGAAGTCTTCAGTGACTACTTCACAGAGAACCTTTGTTCCATCTGCAAAACAAAACAAAAAGACCCTGAGCTTCCAGTTGCCTGCCACTTGAACTTACCACTATATTTCCTGGCCAACATCTCTGTCTCAGGCTTGCTGTAGTACTCCAGCAAAGCTCAGCATAAGCTGGAAGAACAGCACCTCATTTTCCACTTGGGGACCCTGCAGCCTTCTGAAATCAATATCGATTTCAATAACTTTAGGGCTTGTGCTCTCCTATGCCCTTACCCCAAGATCCACACACCAGGCCTTGTTACCACTGTGTGCCATTACACACAACCCATCGTTAGCCACTAACAGTCCCCATTAATAGCTACTCATCCTTGCCAGATTGTCATGCACTCTTGTCTGTCCAACTGTTCATTTCTCTCTTTGGGGTCTATCTCTACCTATTGTTTACTTTTTAACCCCTCCCCCCACCCTATCTTCTGCATACAAACCAACATTTCCCTAGCTGCTATCAGTTCTGAGGACATTGGATATTGGATAAATGTAAATGACCTAGTCTTGCTGAAAATATGTCACCATAAGCAAGTGGGAATTTATGCACCACTTTCAGATATGTGCAATCTCCCTTATATACTGCTGAGACTGCATCTGGAGTATTGTGTTCACTACTGGCCACCATACTTACAGAAGGTTGTTGAAATGTTGAAAGCAGTTCAGAGAAGGTTTAATGAACTCATACCTGGAATGAGTGGATTGCCTTACGAGGAAGGGCTAGACAGGTTAGGCCTGTGTCCTCTAGAGTTTAGAGGAGAAAGAGAAGACTGAGACATAAAAGATCCTGAGGGACCTGACCAGGCAGATGTTGAAAACATGTTTCCTCCTGTGGAAGAATCTAGGACTGGCTGAAAAATAAGGGTGAGCACATTAAAACAGAGATGAGGAAAACACTTCTTTTCTCTCAGAGGGTTCAGTGTCTTTGGAGTTTGCTTCCTTAAAAGGTAGTGGATGCAGAGTCTCCTAATATTGTAAAGGAGAGGTAGTAGAATTCTTAATGACCGTTACAGCGGGGGAATGGCCAAACCCCTCTTATAATTAAATGTAAACACATGCCCCGATCTGTTATGATGGGAGTAGAGATTCCCTTCCAATAAATACCCCTGAAACACCCAGAGAAGCTCACCTTTTCCCTCATTATCTATTAAAAGAGTGGTTAAAAGAAAGAACATCTGTGATTTCCACTTTACAAGTAATAAGAAACAATTTATTTATTTAACCCAACAAAAAATGAACAAATTAACAAAATTACTATCAAACCCCTTAGACTACTAACTACTCTCTAACGGGAATGCTGTTTAAATAGAGACAAGTCCCACTAATATAAACCCAATTAGTAACAAGCAATAAATTATAATGTAATCTCTACAAATTTGCACAGATTGTCCTCTGGAATATTCTGTCGTCTCCGGTTTCTTCCCCAACACCTTTCTTCCATTAATTCTGCAGTCAGGGATGTTTTATCTCTTTAACGTCTTCAATGAGGACTTTGAGCTAAAATACTGTAGTACCTTTGATTAATTAGATGGGCTATCTCTGAGAGCTGAATGGTACTAACTCGTCAGGTGGCAGTTATCTCTTTCTTTCAGATGGCAGTTGGCTCTCCCCGATTTTCCAAATACCCTCATCTTATATACACGTAATAACATAATCAATTCTTACGATCGGTTTCAGGTTGTCAACACTGTCAGATTTAAATTCAATTGGCTTTCTGTATGTAGGTGCTTTGTTTAAATTAATTGGCTAAATTCAAACTTGTTATCTAGGAAAAAGTGCTGCTTGGCTGTTCTATACAAAATGTTTCCATTCGGGCACTCTGTGCACCTGCATTTATAAACTTCCAAGCACAGACAAAGCACAAACTCTTAAAGGGACCACAGCACTCTTTTCCCTACCATCATTTTTACCAACAAATTCTAACTTCCCGCCTTCCAATTCATGAATACTCTATCCAACATTGTAACAATGACGAAGATGATGAAAGATTATCAGGATATGCAGGCACATGGAGCCAAGGTTGAAATCAGATTAGCCACGATCTTATTGAGTGGCAGAGCAGGCTCTAAGGGCCAAGTGGCCTACTCCTGTTCCTCATTTGTATGTTCAAATAAACCAGTGAAAAAAGAAACTCAAGTCTTGTCTGATTATTGCAGGTGAGGAAGGTGTTTGAGTTCCCCCTTCACCCACCCAGTGGAAATAGCTGCTCTCTATCTACCTGACCAGCTTCAATTAACATCTGGACAATTTTAATCAAATCATCCCTCATCCATCTAATTTCCAGCAAATACAGCATTCCTGGTTGGATGATGCATTTTGGGTAGAAAAGGGGTAGAGACCATATGAAATAAGGACAGTAGTAGTCCATTTGGCCCCTCGAGTCTCAAAGGTCACAGCTGATTGATTGAAGCTTCAATTCCACGTTAAACCTGACCTGAAAATGTTTTTGTTTAAATTCAGTCAAGTAATGTGGGCATCCCTGGTTGATCCTAGTTGCCTTTGTGAAGGTGGTGGTGAGCTCCCTTCTTGAACTGCTGCGGTCCACGTGCTGCAGGTAGACCCACAATGCTGCAAGGATGGGAGTTCAGGATTTTCACTCATCTTTTATAGTATTCACTGGCATTTTCCTCTTTACCAATGCCACGCAAATTCACTGTTTTCTCTTTGTCTCCCTTCTGAAATACTGGGATTATGTTCGCTACCCTGCAATAAATAGAAACTGTTCCAGTGTGTACAAACATTTTGAAGATAAGCACTAGTGCATCTGCTCTTTTGACAGCCACTTCTTGAGCTACTCTGGGATGAAGGTTATCCAGCTCTGGGGATGTATCTACTTTTAATCCTATTAATTATGTCAATATAATTTTCCTACTAATACTAATTTCTCTCGCTTCCTCCGTCCAATTAAACCCTGTGATCCCCCTTATTTCTGGGACGTTAATGTGTATCCTTCTTCTTAAAGGCATGAAGACATGTTCAATTGGTCTGCCATCACTTCATACAGCATTATAAATAGCCCAGTTTCTGATTGTAGGAGACCCTATACTAATCTTTTACTATCAATCTTAGAGTTAAATGATGACTGTGAAAGCCTTGTTAATCATCAGGAAAAAACCCACCTGGTTCCCTAATGTTCTTTAGAGAAAGAAACTGTCATACTTACCTGGTCTGGCTTAGATGTAACTCCAGCTCCACAGCAGTGCAGTTGACTCTTAACAGCTCTCTGGGCAATCAGGGATGTTCAATAAATTCTGGCCTAGCCAGCAATGCCCACATCCTGCGAATGAACAAAACAAACTTTTGGTTTGTCTGGTCCTTGCGAGCATACTCTCATACTCTATTTTCTCCCTCTTCTTCAATCCCTTTGTCTCCCTTTCCTGAAATCTAAACTGTTCGCAGTCCACAGGTCTATTGTTTTATCTAGCTAGTTTGTATGCTGTTTCCTTAGATTTAATACTAACCATCATTTCCCCGTTTTAACCATGATTTGACTATGTTTCCCATATTGCTTTTATGCCAGAATGGGAGGAAGAACTTTCATAGTTCATGCGCTCTTTAAATGTTTGTGATTACCTATCTCCCATCATCCATTTAAATACTGATTCACAATTTATCACAGCTAGTTCGCGCGTCATACCATTATAATTTCCTTTATTTAATTACAGGACCCTAGCTTAACAATGACATCATTCTCCATCTTCATGAAGAATTCTATCCTACTGTGGTCACTATTCCCTAAGGGCCCATGCTCAATTAGATTGTCAATTATTCCTTTCTCATTACCCAATATCCAGTTGCCTCTTGAACATTTTGATTCATAAAACTGTTCCATAAACATGTTAAGAATTCCTCCTCTATGGTATTGCTACTGATTTCATTTGCCTAATTTATATGCAGGTGAAAGTCACCCACAATCATGGCCATAACTTTATTAATCGCACCTCTAATTTTCATTCTATTGCCTTCCCCAATATTGCTACTGCAGTTTGGAGTCAATATACAACACTACTAGCATTTTCTCTCCATTTGTGTTTCTAAGCTCAATTCATACAGATTCTACTCCATCAGAGCCAATATCCTTGCTCACAATCACATTATTTTCCTGTTTTAATTAGCAGTTCTAACCCACTGCCTTTTCCTTCTTGCCTGCCCAACCTAAGCTCCTTAGACAACCCATTGATTCCAGGTATCAACTGCATAAACATCCTCTGAATCACCTCCAATAAATTTGCAGAAGACCAAAACCTGGACACAGTACTTGAGATGTGGTCTCACCAATTCTCTGCACAAATGAAGCAGAACATCCTTACATTTTTGTTCTTTCCTGTCTTAATAAAAGAGACAGCCTACTAGTTTTCTTGATTACATGCCAAATCTGCAAACTGACTTTGTGGCTCATACTTTATAACCCCTAAATCCCTCTGCACCTCAGAATTCTGCAGTCATTCCCCATTTAAGGAATATTTTGCTGTATTTACAAAGTGAATGATTTCACATTTTCTTGCATTACACTCCATCTGCAAGATATTTCACCCTTAAATTAAACCTATCTATATCTCCCTGCAAACTCATCTTTATTACAGCATAGTTTTCTATCTATCTCTTAGCTATCCTGCCTTCAGTACCCTCAGCTGAGTGATGTATGGAAGATGTAAAATGTTGGGTAGTGCATTAAGCCTAAACAACTCAAAGGATGGACAACAGAGAAAATCCTAGAATCCCTCCAGTCCAGAACAGGCCATTCTGCTCATCAAGTCAGCACTGACCCACTGAAGAGCATGACATCCAGACTCTTCCACCCACCCACTTAACCTGCACATCCTTGGAGAATATGGGGCTTTTTGTAGCATGGCCAATTAACTAGCCTGCCCATCTTTGGACCATGGAAATAAACAAATGCAGGCAAAGGGAGAATGTGCAAACTTCACGGAGACAGTCACCAAAGGCTGGAATCAAACCCAGGTTCCTGGCACTGCGAGGCAGCAGTGCTAACTACTGAATCACCGTGCTGCCTAAAATTGATTGGTGAAACCTGGGATTGAAGCAGGAACCTCTATATCTTCAGGCTAATATACTCCCAACTATTTCAGCAACAACAAATACAGAAAGAATAAAAACTCTTTTTAGCCTCAGAAAAAGTGGTAGTACACAGTCCTTTATCTTTGCGGGTGGAAACGAAGGGAATCAATGACTTAAACAAGGAAACTAGATGAGCATTTAAGAAACTTAAATTTGCAGGACTTTGAGAAGGGAGCAGCGGAATCAGGGAGATTGCATTTCTGTACAGAAAGTTGGCATAGATGAAATAGGTTAAATGACTTTTTTCTGTGCCATAATGAATCACAGACTGGTTTCTGCAACCTCTGCTCATAATATAACCCTGGAGTCCAGGAATCATTGGGGAAAATCCAGGCTGCTCTCGCAGGAAGGTCCACAGTCTCTCCTTCCTCAATCGTGATACCCAGGCACATCCTTGAGGGCTGCTCTGCACACGATTGTGAATTTCTTGGCACTTTTTCAGTGACATTGATCTCAGAAATCTTTTCCCATAGGCACAATAAACAAACCTTTTACTTTGTATAGTGAAAGGCTGATGGTGCTGGTAAATTGAGTGACTCTGTTAGATCTTGTTGAGATATCTGGTTGGAATTGGTGATGTGAAAATGCTTCCCATTGAATGTGCAGTAAAAAGAGTGAGCAAAGAGCAGAGATAGTAGGAACTGCAGATGCTGGAGAATCTGAGATAACAAGGTGTAAAGCTGGATGAACACAGCAGGCCTCTGATGCTGCTTGGCCTGCTGTGTTCATCCAGCTCTACACCGTGTTATCTGAGCAAAGAGCAGTTCTTTTTGTTCTACCATACCTACGGCGCATACACTAGTCACTGCTCCAGCCCCGCCTTCCTGAAGAAAGATAATTTTCTGAAGAAGGGTCGAGGCCCGAAACGTCAGCCTTCTACAGCCTTCCGGCTTCTCTGATGCTGCTTGGCCTGCTGTGTTCATCCAGCTCTACACCTTGTTATCTCAGATTCTCCAACATCTTCAGTTCCTACTATCTCTGATACCCGAAACGTTGATTGCTTCTGATATTGCCTGGCCTGCTGTGTTCGTCCAGCCTCCTGTTTGTCTACAGTCTTCTCTTTCACTGATTGGCTGGGGTACTAACCCCGCCTCTCATCTCTCTGAATGGTTGGAGGACCAGCAACAAAAGTTCCGTCCTCCAGCCCCACCCCTTGGTTGCTATTGGTCGTGAAACGTCATCAACAAGGCTGGCTCGGCGGATGTTTAATTGTGATTGTGAGCATGCGGGCTGCGAGTGATGGCTGGAAAGAAATGTTCGGCTATCACTCGTACAGGCGGTGAGTGAAAGTAAAAGAGGAGGTCAGCGTTCGGCACAATATTCTGGCAAGAAGTTTCTATGATTGCCTGGATGAGGTTAAAGGCCCAAACGTGGGTTTTCTGGTGCTGCGATTTAAGCCGCAGAGAGCCTCAGGGTCCTTCCTAGAAACAGACCCCGGCTAACGGTCGCCACTTGGTTCAGCGGGTGGGCGATTGCGCAGGCGCGGTTAGCGTGTGCATGTAACAATGAGCGGGTGGGGCAGTGTGTAGCTCCCCCCCCATTTCCCCACCCCCCCCAGTTCCCGAGGCCCCCCACCTCCGCGTGAGTCTTGTTTGATTACTCACGGTGGGAAGGGTTACTGCGGTAAAAGTGCAATATGAAGGGGAGATGAAGCTGGATATAATAAAAAGCAGCAATCCCACCAGAATTCAACTCCTGTAACCCCCCTGTAAACTTACAGGTGTCTCAGCAGCTGGATGTCTGACTGAATCCTTTCTGCACATGGAGCAGGGGAATGGGCCGTCCCCTGGGTGACTGCACTACTGGGTGGCCAGCTCAGGTGGGCAACTGTATCCTTGTCACTGTCCTGATATTACCACAGTATTTCCATAATGTAGGAATCTCAGTCTCTCCTGGCTGAGTGATCAGATATATTCTAATCCAGTGCACAGAACATCCGTAGAGTTTCTCTCAACTGCATGCGGTGTGATTTTGTTTCAGTTTACGTTAGAACAGTTTCCACAGTTAATTCCCTGGAACACCCTCTCTCCGGCTTTGTAACTAGTTACAGCCCTTCCTGCAGTCTCATGGAAGACCGCATGTATTACATGTAAAATCCAGTAGTGGGCTATATGGCCGCTCGAGCCTGTTCCATCTTTCAATAAGATTGTGGCTGATCCCTCTTGCCTCATGTCCAGTTTCCAGTGTTTTCTCTCTAACCCTTCATTCCCCTATTGATCAAGAATCTGTCTATCTCAGCCTTAACTACGTATAAGGGCTGTGCCCCCAGAGCTCTCTGTGGCAAGAATTTCCAAGGGCTGTCAACCCCCTGAGAAGCCATGATGTGGAGGTGCTGGTGTTGGACTGGGGTGGAGAAAGTCAAAAATCACACAACACCGGGTTATAATCCAAACACCCTTTATTCTCAGACTGTGCCTTCTAGTCTGAGATTCTCCAACGAGAGGGAACATCCTCTCAGTGTTTACCCTGTCTGACCCTTTAGGATTGAATTGCTTCAGAGAGATCACCTTTCATTATTCTAATTCCAGTGAGGAGTGTCCCACTCCTGTGTCACTGATTAAACGTTCTTCCACTGTGCACTATGTTAGAACTCTTGCTGATACTTTAAATATCATTTTTGGTTTGAATCTGAGAGCCAAGCAGTGACCTCTGGACTGTGAGCAGCAGCTTGTGCTAAAAACAAGAAACAAACTTGTTTTCTTTGAGGCCAGGCCTGAAAGCCATTTGCAGATTATGCTGCTGATTTCACAGCTTTATCTCCCCACGGTCAAGAATTGTTTGCCTTGCACTGGAGATAATTTCTGTTTCTGAGCTAATATTGACCATCAGATACAAGGATAGCAACCTAAAATATGTTAGCCTCACTATTACTGGATTCGTAACACAGTAAAATTAAAACATTGAATGACCCTCAAAATTGCACACAACGTTGTAACCAGACTTTATGAATAACAGGACTTGGTCAGCCAGTTTATAGAAGGAGGAAATAGCACTAGCAAAAACAGAAGTTGTTGGAAAAGCTCAGTAGGTCTGGCAGCATCTGTGAAGAAAAATCAGAGTTAATGTTTTGGGTCCAGCGACCCTTCCTCAGAACCGGACCTGAAATGTTAACTCTGATTTTTCTTCATAGATGCTGCC